ATAGCTTACAGCTTTTGATTCTCAATGCTCGAACATGATGCTACATACAAGCTGGAGCAAGATCGTCTAGCCACCATCCCAAAACGTGTCAACTCGAGAAAAGGCTACCCAGAAATCTACATCTATAGAAAGCAAAATGCCCCCCCCCCCTCTCTCCCGCCGACAAACTGCGCCCAATGCTTGTGGGACACTCTCGAAGCTTTCCCGCAAGAGGTATATAAAGGCGCCTTCTCTTCCTCGGTTGAATTACAATGTCAGCCCACAGGACCACCTTCGAGTCATCATCGTCTATGGATGTTGCCGCGGCAGTGGAGCGACGGCAGGTGTCCACTGCATCAACAGTGCATTGGGGAAGATACCTGCTACCATCAGGACTGTCCACCGCTGGTTCGCTCGCTTCGCGAAAGGAGACACGATCTTCGAAGACAAACCTCGGTGGGACGCCCCCACGAAGTGGAAGACTCCACCGTTCTCGAAGCTGTCAAAGAGGATCCGGAGGCTACCACCCGCAGTCTTGCGACAAGACTTGAGTGTACCTAATCCGACAGCAGTCAGCCGCCTGTAAGCCCGCGGCTATCGGAAAGTAGTGACTCAGTGGTTCCGTCATAGCTTGACGGATGGCACGCGATGCACACGGGTACCCATTTGTCAGTCTCCCCTTCTCTGCCCTCATCAGGAGCACTTTATGGGAGACTGGCTAGCAAAGGTTGGGAAGGTTCTCTTTCACTACAATCGGCAAGTGCCGTATGACTTCCTCAAGCAGAAGACCCATATTAGCAGGCCAAACCGGGCATGCACTCCAAGAAGGTTCTCCTGTGCTGCTTCTGGGACGCGAGGGGAATGCTGCACAACGAGCTGCCCTGTAAGAACACACGGTCACCGCTACCATTTGTGCCACTCAGCTCCTGAAACCCGTGGAAACTGTTCGAGAAAATGACCGAGACTAGCTTTCGGGCACATTTCCACGCTGTTTGTGAAGACGCGAGACCCCTTACTGCTGTGGAGAACCACCAAAAATAGAGAAGCAAGGCTGGGGGAGCATACCCCGCTCACCATATTCTCCTGACACCTGGACCCCTACGATGGTACTTGTTCTCAACCTTAAGGCTTTCTCAGCTAAAAAAAGTGTCAGCAAGTTTGATGATACCAGTCAAGGGGTTGCCGACTTGTTTGGCTCGCAGTCTGCCCACTTCAGGGAGGAGTGGTCGCCAACCTGCTCATTAGGTGAGCACTGTAGTGAGGAACAAGAGTGGTTCGATTATCGATTAATTTCCATTCTTGGGGAACAAGAGTGGGTAGATTATCGATTAATTTCCATTCTGTGTTGAACTAGAAAAAAGGAAAAAGTCGTAACAGTGACAAGACTTTCTTTCCAGCGTGATACTACCTCAACAACCATGCTCTGGACCACGTGTTTCGTTGAAACTTTGAATAGGTGGTTATACGATTTTGCTGTGTTCTACACCACTGGGCCGTGAATAGGGCACATCCTGCCTTGAGGGGCAGGGGGGGGGGGATTTGGCAAAATACGTCTCCTCGAACATTTCTGTTCAGGTACACCCCCTCCCTCTTCCCCATCTGCCTGTCTACCAGCTTTCTATCTTGCTACTTCCCACCGCTTTTTCCATAGGAACTTTGAAAAAAGCCGACCCTCCCTCCTTCCAATGGCAAAATGCGACCCCTCGCTGGGGATCTCATACACATGACGGATATCCCTGGCCGGAAGTGGTGTACTGGAAAATGACGCCGCCTATCACGCGCACAATTCGGAATCAAATTCCGGATCCGCTAGACCCGTACCAAGTAAGCATTCCATCCTTTCGGAGCCGATGATTTCGTAACAGACTCCGGGAAGATGAAAACACTGTCAGCGCAAATTTGGTTGGCCTACGCAAGTCATTGAGATCAAGGTGGATTCTAAAAGCGTCAAGATCCAACCAGAGATCAGATAATTAGATTCTCCGCCAATCTAATATTGACAGTCCATCTTTGGTTTTTTCAAGAATGCACCGTGCATTTTCACGGCTTGGGTATAGAAGTTTAGCGTACTAGACCCCTGGAGAAATGGACCGGAGACGAAGCATTTGCATCAATGTTCTAATAATTTCGTAGGAAAGAAATGTATCGTAGGCGCTATCAAAAGTGTATTGGATGTTTGAGTTGGTGACCGCAAGTTTCAGGAGAAGATACTTCTCTTTCTTACCAAAAAACCTTCAAAACATGAATTTATGTTGAAAATTCTGCAGAAAACCTTCTGATATCATGGTGAAGAGATTGAAAGTCGATTATGAGGAAGATCCCTTCATTCGGACTTCCACCAGCGAAGCAAAGAAGCCTTCAGTGTTGCGGTATGTGTACTGTCCTCTAACTGTAAGATACAAAGCTAAGAGGAAAGGAGTAACTCTAGTGACTTGCAGACCAATCAAAAAGGTCATATTGGAACCGTCAGCCGCCGTCTGTGCAGAAGATCCGTTTTCTTCGTGTACTATCAAGTATGCGCAACCATCGTCCAGTTTGTTAGTCACGATAACAACTTCTACAACTTATTCCTTCGTGATTCAAACATTGAACCGTTAATTGTGGGTGTTTTGTAGGAAGGAACCCAGTGAACCGGATGGCAAAGAAGGTTCTCGCAATTCCACTGCGGCCAACGTTTTTCGTGAAACGTTCTCGTCTCTGAATGGTGAGATTTCATTGCATTTCCGCCATTTGAATGTGATTGTGCCTACAATCTGCGCTCAATGAACAGTCGTCGATGGTATAACTTTGAGATATCCTAGGGTAGACTCTACGTTGCCCACATTAGGTATTGCGTTGTATTAGGCTTCAGAGCATCATAGAAGCTGTTGCTCGGTTCTTCTTTGCAGTAGTACTGTTACATTCTCGCACAGCGATGTCCCTCGCTTTCATAACGAGGGAGATCGCTGTGCCCTGAGGATGAACATCTCTATGTCGATTTTATTTGTTCATACTTCACCTCTTGAGCCATTCAGCCGCGCTGCTACAACCGTTCGCGCTCCACCGCCAGTTACTGACCCGCGGCAAAGGTCGATAAAAGCTCCTCTTCGAAGTGATCGAACTGGCATCCTGAGCCGCTAGACAATTAACACATTGGCGACAAGGCGCCTTTTCGCGTGTCTGCCGCGTGGGACAAAGCAGTTTTTCCCTATTTTCGAAGAATGCGCATAAATGCTAGGGCGTTTATACGCCAAAAAAATTGAAGAATGGTCAGAATTCATTGCAGAAGCTAGTAAGGCTTCGCTATTCTTGTTTACTTTCAAGATAAACCCTGAAATTTCATGGAATACTCCCGCCTCATTCACGTGGAGCGTGGGAACAAGGTCGCAAAAAAGGAATATTTTCGCGCCAGAGGTGGTAAATTGGATTCGATTCAGATCTGCTATTGTTGAAAGTTACCTTATCACATTAGCTATCTGCATGTGGAGCTTCAGTTCTATATATCCAAGAATTATCTTTTTTTCCTAGGAAATCACTTTCGTTTGTCTCCTCGGTAAAATACTCTCAATGACACAACTGCACGGTTTACAGCTACTGTATATTCTACAATGCCTTCATGGACAATATGCAGCTGTTGAAAATTCGAAACGTCTTCAAATTGGTTTTTTACCCATGCCGCATCCCAGCAGTGGGACGCAATGTCCCACGCGGCAAAAAAGGTGCGTCCCAGCAGTGGGACGCGGCAAGTGTCCCCACGGCGGCAACAAAGGTGCTGTCCCAAGCTAGTGGGACGCAATGTCGCCAACGTGTTAAGGAGAAGCATATTGTGTGAAGGTTGCGGCGATTGATTTGTCTCCTGTCGCGGCCTGAGATATGAAGCAGCATTGTCATGCCCCTCGTGGATGCGCGCTTGCTTCCAACCGAAAATTCTTGAGGCATTTTGAACCAAATGCCTTCATCGTTCACGAAATCATCCGGAACGATCAGGGGGTGGCCAATGCAGGGGCTGCCATTGGCTCTTTATTTGCGTCTTTCCACGAGGGTATGAACATGGGCTATGAGGGCGAATCCAGTATACGGTAGAACATTGAACGCGGGCCGTATCTTTGAAGTTAGTGTCACAGTCTGCCCAATGACCAGTTGCGGATAGGACTCAACAAAGAGCCTTTTTATTGCTGCGAGCCTTTATTCCCTGAACAAACACTAAAGAAACCTGTTCATCTGAGCAAACTAGGCAAAAGAATTGCCTCAGTGTTATTCCACCTTGGTATGGGTCAGTGGTCTAAAAAAAGCGTCGTCGCTGAGACGTCGAATACTGCATGTTTTGTGACGTTCTGTGGACCTCCCGAATGTGAAACGTTCCCTGGAAACATCTTGGAATTCCTTTACAATTCCATTTCTCACGAGGGCTATGTTACAGATCGAGTCTCTTGTCGTCTTGCTGCATTCAAGCTCAAAAAATCGCGGTGAGTAGAGAAACACAATTCTATCATGCTCTCTAAGGCAGCGTTCAGACTTCGCGACGGCAGCGCTTCGGTCGCGCGTTCGACGCGATCGATGCGCATGCTTTCGACTGCATTGATCGCGTCGAACGCGCGACCAAGCGCTGTCGTCACGAAGTCTGAACGGTGCTTTAGTTGTTATGATGGGGCCTGTGATATTACAAGTGGTTGTCCCCAAGTGAATGATATATTCTAGGGTCAAATGGAAGCTGATTCCTATCGAACATGTGAAATCCTTTTGTAAGCAATCCATTAGTCATTCTATTAGTATTCCAGTGTTGCGATTATGCCATTGATGTTGTTTCGTTTTTTTAGATCGATCTCTGCCCCTGGATGAGAGTGATCCAAGGCTATGCAAGAGAGCCAGGTACATTTTCATTTTATCGTTTTTTAAAAGCTAAGTGTGGCTAGAGCAGGGTACATTCTGTCGCTAGGAAAAACTCTTGCAGAAAACAGGATTTCCCCCCCCCTCTCTACCCAATTTCCCCAATTTCTTTTTCTGGTACGACCCCTCGCTCCATGGCCCAAGTACGGCTTCCTCGCTCAGGATTCCCTAGGGTACGACGTGCCATGGCCTCGAGTGTCTGGTATATACCATTTTAACTTTGAATCGGACACTATAGGGACACTTTTCAAAGCCAAAACGGACCTTGGTTTTAAACCGAATCAACACTTTTTCAAATCAAAAAGGACACTTTTAAAATCAAAACGGACATTTTCAAATCAAATCGGACACACCCCTCACAATAGGCAGTTGATAACTATACCACACTAGGTACTGCTGCAAGCCCCGCCCCAACATCCCCGCGCCACTTCTTAGCGCGACCGTGGTTCTCCAAATGTTTTGATGAATACTTCTTTCGACTTGTTTTAACTTTTGCTACTTGACGTAATCTACTGATTTTTATAACTGTCTATTCGACGGCCTGTTTTTTCACATTGTAATCTTCACGGAGAAGAAGTATTGCTCATGCATTTACACACTAGCACACTAAGCTCCGCCCCTCTGACCACGCCCCACTTTCGTTTTTCGCGGAATTTTGAATTGTCTTCGAATTTTCACATTTTTAGGCTTTGACAAGCGGCAAGCAAGTGGAAACTCCGCCCACTTTTTAGAAGCCCCGCACACTTTTCAAAAATGATGCGCGAATCCGTGCGAAAATTAGTGAGCGTCAGGCAGGTTATGGCCTCTCCCATTACATGGGAAGCAAGGCTCCCCTTTTGTTCTGGTGCTTATCGCCATTTTTTTCCATTCAGATGTGAGGGGAGAGGCCATAACCTGCCAGTCCGGTCACTAGCTCCTTCATAAGAACATAGGAATTACTCATAAAACATTTGGCAGAAGCCATGCCGCGGCTAAGCAGTGAGCGGGAAATGTGGGGACGCGCTTGCAAGGCAGTACGTACCGTGCGGTCTAGTCTCAACTAACCCATTGTAAGGGGTGTGTCCGATTTGATTTGAAAAGTGTCCTTTCTGATTTGAAAAGTGTCCGTTTTGGTTCGAAAAGTGTCCGAATTGGTTTGAAAAGTGTCCGGTGCAAAGTGAAAATTTTATATGATAGACGATGTCTTTTGGATCGATTAAGACCGGCTGTCGATTGAGTAGGTGGAAGCTCCTGCGAGCGTCCAAAAAACAAATGACGTTGTTCATACATGAGGAATCGAGGAGGGTACAAAGGGTTTATGTGCAGGTTTATTGCAACCGCCATTGTGGCCAAGCCTTATATGACGACCTATGTCATCCAGGGTCCGTACAATCTTGACTGGAAGCTAGAACTTCCCATAGAAAAATTGTTACCCACTGCGGGCCCTTTGAAAGGCGCTTGACGACGATAATTTGTTTCGATACCAAAGCGGGAGTAAGGGTGTTTATAGGTGGAAAATGGCGAGAAAGTGAAGGTCAGAAACTGCCAAGAAAGACTTTGTTCTTAAAAGAACGTCCGGACCGCGTGACACACATGGTGTGTCATGAATTTGCCTCTATGCTGTCTTTTAATGGATTATTTTGATTATTCTTTCATGTTCTGTTCTTGTGAAAACACCGTCTTTGGTTATCAACATATCCTCCCTTATGAGCGTTTGAAAATAGGGAGGAAATTACTTATCAATTTTTTGTGAAATTGATGAAATGATTTATGACAAGTGCGCGGGATAACGCGGTCCGCAATGTGTTATATGACTTCAACAAACCAAGATTCGGACGAGATTCGTCCATAGGCATCTTGCCAATAGCCGCTACGGTAGACACGGCTGCATGTAGTTTGTTGCAGGTTGCTGGTGGTTTTGGTCGTTATGTTGCAACTTGGTAGGGCGCTATAAGAGTGCCTTCTATAGTGAAGGCGCCACGCAGCGCTTGCTCGGGAGACGTGCAACAGAATCGTCCGATGCAGCGCCCGGCAGCGCGAATGACTGCAGCACTCGCTTACGGTGCACTTTGATAGCCGAGTAGCTTTGGAGAAATTGTATCTGACTACGAGGCTTATGAGTCCGCAACATCAGCAGGTTCATCAAATGAATGAAAAGTTAAAGATGTTTTTTCTCCAATTAGTAACACAATCACACAGTTTTTTTTTGTTTTTGTTAGCAGTTCCATAAACGCAACATCAGGAAATGAACAGATACGAAAGAAATCAGATAAGGCTGTGGATCTCCCTACGTTTATGTGGTTCACATGATTTGCGCAGTCGCCAGCGTCAATATAATAGACGGATGGCCAAGTTTTTCTGTGAGCTGCTGTAAAAGATGACAAACCAGAGCAAATGTTAAAGACCCCAATGATTTCGTGCTCTATTGAAGACCCCAATGAATTTCGTGCTCTATTGAACTTTTTCATACTCTAACTGAAAACTTAACCGTAACTGAACACAAGACTCGATCCTGGGTGATATCAATATTTACCTTCCCTTCAATAACCCTATTCAAACCGCCAGAAGCACGCTTCGTCTTCTCGCCGCAAGTATGTCGCAGGCCACGCCCACCAGCTGCCCGGACGATTCTGTTGCTACACACCCGCGCTTGCTCAGGGGCGCCGAATTCAGTTCTGCTGGGTATATTAGTCGTACAAATCTGGGTATCGTGCCAAATGCCTTTAAAAAATCTTTATTTCTTAAACACTATGCCCAGACTCTGTGTCTATGGACCAACCACTTTTTGATGTGCGTGCACGCATTCGTAATAATAGTGGCGTTTTGCATTTGGCCTGTGCCATTTTTCTGCTCAGAGTCTGCCGATTTACTAGTCGGCAGGCTCTGGGCGGGTGTTTTTATCATGTAGGGTGAGTCCGGTACCATTTATCTGGACTCATCTCGAATGATGCAAAAGGAAAAAAGAGTAAAAGGGTAGAGGTGGAAGGCTTGGTTGGCCAACGTGAGAAGCCTTGGGCGATTAGCTTTTTAGTCTGAGGAAATAATGACCAATCCAACTGGGATGAGCTTGCTTACTGTTTTCCTTGGAAAATCATTTCCATCATTATCATGACGTCCTCATTTTGTTATGCACTGTACTCAAATAAACTCATATACTGAAGCTTTGTCACGTTGCACGATGGGGATCCCCGCGAGGGTGTCGCGTCCGGCTGCTGGAAGGGGGGGGATTGCTTCCGATTATGTAAGTGTTTTTTTTATTTGTTAACATTTCTCGGTTTTTCCCGTTTTAGGTGCTCTAAATACCCTTCCTCCCCCGCCCTCCCCTCCTTCCATGCTGGGTACTTATTTGGTGAAAAATTGGAAATAGGGAACTCTAGGGGTGGCAGCTCCGAGAAAAGTGTGGGAAATTGGGAGGATTTAGGAAGTTGCTGTGTAAGATGTGAGGTTGAAGTGGAGGGATTCGTACCAGGGGAGGAAATCGTGAAGGAGAGGAAGGTCGTATATTGCAAAATTTCTCCGCGATAGCGTGGCAGTATGTGCCATGCTAAGGGTACATCTAATAGGTTGCCCCACAGGGTAATCACTGTTGGTCCACCCTTGTACACGCTTTTATCCTAGCTCGAAATCCGAGTGGGATGTTGCCCAAAGGTTGAATGAACTGACGATCTTCAATACCCATGTTGTCGTACTGTCTTTTTTTATGTCTAGGGAAACACGGGAATCTACATTAACAGCAGTGGCAAAAGAAGAAGATACTGAAGCTAATGATAGATGTCAAGGTGATGGCCTCTTCCATTCACTCAGTACATATAGGATCCATTCAAAGTCCACCCAGTTCAGGTATCTGGTCGAAGAACTTCCGCAAAACCGCTTTCAGATGCTTTACCGAAAGGGCATCCTCATTTGTTCGTCCTCGATTGGATCTTCGAATGAACTGTCGCAGGATATCCTATGAACCTAATAGTCTAGTGAACGTAAGATCCTCGGATCCTGTTTGTACTCTCCAGATTTTACTAACCTTATGTATCGCAGGCTGACATACAGTGGTCGTGGAACAAGCAGAAGGAACTGCAGCCACTCGAAATTGAATTGATACGTAAGTTGCTTAGGTGTCTTAAGTAGTGGCACTTAAAGGCAGCGACCGCGATCAACCAAAGTGCAGAAATCCTTCAGAGTACAGGATGGCGGAGCTTGTGATTACAGAGTTTATCCCACGTTTGCTGCTCAAAAGCGCTTCATAAGAGCTCAGCAGTGATAAGCTGACTCCGCCCCGGAGTCAACAAGTTCCGCCTCAATCATTTTTTTATTACCAAGAGTCGTTAGCGATGATAACTGCTAATACTGTCGAATATGCCTTGGAGAGTGAGTCGCAGCAAAAGGCGTCTAGGGCGCAGTTTGCCGACGGGGAGGGGCATTTTGCTTTTTCGTTGCTTCACTAGTTCTGGTTTACAAGTCACTCTGGTGAAACCTGTGAACTCTTGTGAAGCTGGAGCAAGCTCGTCAAGCCATCATGGTAAACCTGTCAACTCGAGAAGAGGCTGTCTAGATGGGTCGACACGTCGATGGGAAGTCGTTAAAGTGCAAAATGCCCCCCCCCCCCACCATCGCCTAACAGCGCCAGCGGCTAGATTCAGCGAACTCGCCCAAAGTTAGATTAACTCGTCCACTTTCAATCCCGTGCATCAGGTCTTTTTTGGGCTTTTTCAGCGGGTTCTTTTGCTTTTTCTCTTTTGGCGTTGTACTTACGTTCTAAGCTCTACAGTCTATGAAAGGCTATCGCGGGCGCTGTCTTCGAAAAGACTGTGTCGCCCGGTGAAGCGGAAAGTCATAAAGATCTCAGATTAGTGATTGGTTTTCATAATTGTCATGGAAACAAATGCATTGTATGGAAGGGGAGACAGGGCAGAATATTCACTGAGAAGGTAAAATAAATAGAGTGATAAAATGTTCAGGACTAGATTAGTTCCTGCAACGATGAGAAACTTATGTTTAAAGTACAGAGGCGTCGGTGAGCTATAAAGACCCTTTGCTCGAGGCGCTCACCATCGAGGTTTCCAGCGCAAAGTTATGAAGGTGCATGTGAGGCCCAAAGTGATTTTTCCCTCGAAGCTCTTCTATAATGAAGAGCAAGCTCCTCATGGGTTCCTATGGTCACGAGTATCAGATGCTAACCATCATTGTGAGTGAGGTCAAAAAAGCCCACTGTATCTGACTCGTCCTGAAGCAGGTGCTTGATTTCCGGAGTTGAGTGGTTCGTGCAGAGATTTCCCATCATCACTCGGTCCTGTCCACTCTTTGCCTTCCCACAGAATGTTCTGCCGTGCGCCCTTAGTCCTGGAATCATCAGTCATCTGGCTGTTTGGACAGTGTCGCCATGGTCAACTACCTGTATTTCGCACCTCGACCCTGCAAATCAGGTTGTGCTTTTTTTGGACCTCAGGCACCTCATTTCTCTGAAGTTACGAGTAGTGAGGTCTATAATCCCTGACTAGTCGATTCTCAGTCACTGTGCAAAGTCCGTTCTAAGGTTATGCTCCTTAAGCATAGTGCCTTTTTTCATTGCCCTACCTTTACTCCACCCCACCCCTGAGATACGGGCTCCTAATGGGTATGTAATGTAGACCCAGAAACACATGTACGCGGATAATAAACGAAGAGGACGAGAGACGGCGAGTTGATAGATAATCACTAAAAGTCAACAACCGGGAGAATTTTCCCGCAACGCGGTAAATTCCCCTCCAAGCCACATACGACCCTCCCCCTCTCTCAACAACGACCATATACGACCCTCCCCACCCCTTCCCCAACACCTACCTGCCATTTTCCTACATTTTACAGTTTTGCACTCAAAGATTTTCCATCCAGAGGGAAAGGGGGGGGGGTATATGGTACACATGAAACAGAAGAAATCACGGAAAGCCAGCACACCGGGAAAATTTTTTTCCCAACGCGGTAAATTCCTCTCAAGCCACATGCGGTTTCCCCCCCCCCTCTCCCAACAACGACCAGACCATAACGACCCCACACCTCCCCAGCTGAAAAATGACCTCCATATGTGTTTCACACAACGATGTTGTACCGTGGTTGGAAATGAAAATGAGGATACAGAATAGGGAACGTCGAGAGAGAAAGGTATTAATATGGGGGCGGAGGGGGAGGAGGGGGGGAGGGGGGAAGCAGGTTGTTCTTCAGCAGATTGTGAAAGGATACACGCTCCACCGCGATCCATACACTTCTCATGCATAAACTGCCTATAATGATTTTGTTTTAGCAAAGCTCGTTTCAGGCAAGCACGTTATTCCGAAGTGGGGCTCTGCAAACCCGAAGCGATCCAGGTTCCCGTTTGAGAAAACGGAAGGAATATTCTGGCCCGTAGTGCAGCCTTTCGATGCCATAAATATTGAGAACAGAGACCAGTGAGTCTTTAGCAATTGTAGTTTGGAAAATTCTTCTTACTTTCTAACTTTAGTGTTGAAACTGCCGACACGAGGAATCAGTTGGTCTGTCTGACAGAGCTCACGTTTGCTGCCAGGCAGCAGGTAGGCGACTTTCCTTTGCATGGGGCTCATTTGGCTAAAAAGAGTCGAACAAAGTTTCAATGCAAAACAGCGGGAAAATGTGCGCCGGGGACAAACGTTTATGTTTACAGGGTTGGCCATAATTATAGCGACAAGACTTGCTGCAGTTAGCGTACATTCTATCGCGCACATAGCGCGCCAGTTTTATGGATTTTTCAATCTCATCATTTTTTCTAACTCCTGTTAAAATTTGGTTAAATTTGGTCCATTCATAGTGAAATGGTGAAGCCTTCTCCTGATCGTTCCGCTATCGTTCGTCTGCACAAAGCCGGCCGCCCACCCGCCACGATCGCTAAGCACCTCGGCATCCACCGCAGCGTCGTGTATCGCACACTCCAACGTATCGAGACAATTGGTGGACTCCAAGACCGTCGAAGAAAGGGAAGACCTCGTACTGTCTCGCACGCCGAAGGTCGTCGAGGCCGTCAGAAAGCGGATAGCAAGAAACGCGACTCGGAGCATCTCGACGATGGCTCGCGACATGGGAATCTCGCGGAAGTCAATGGAAAGGGTCGTCCACGAAGACCTTAAGATGTACCCCTACCGTACTCGGAAGGCCTCCTCAGCGCCTCGAATCAGCAGACGCCAGTCAAGAAGTGCCGACAGCTTTTGCTTCGGACGCGCAACAAGGGCCACCATTCGATCGTCTTTTCGGATGAGAAGCTCTTCACCGTCGAGCAGCAGTTCAACGCTCAGAACGTCAGAGTGATCGCAAGGAATGCCGAGGAAGCCGACAAGAAGGGAAGAGTCGTTTACCGGGCCGCACACCCTTGCCCAAGTCATGGTTTGGGCAGGGGTGTGTGCCTCGGGGAAGACGCCGTTGATATTCGTCGACCCCGGCGTCAAAATCAACAAAGATTACAGCCTGAACGATTCTGGAAGATGCTCTACTCCCGTGGGCGAATTCCCACTTCAACGGCCGCCCGTGGACATTCCAGCAAGATTCGGCGCCCGCCCACAAGGCCAAGGTCGTCCAAGCGTGGTGCAAGAGCGAACTCCCCGACTTCATCTCGGCAGAAGAATGGCCGGCATCGTCACCGGATTTGAACCCACTGGACTATAACTTGTGGTCCTACCTTGAGAGCAAGGCCTGCGCCACTCCCCACCCCAATTTGGATTCTCTGAAGGCAGCGCTCATCCGAGAATGGGACGAAATCGACGACGCACTCCTGCGTCCGGTCATCGACGCCTTTCCCAAGCGACTCCGCGCTGTCGTCCGTGCCAAAAAAGGTGGCCGAATCGAGAAGTAAGCCTTATGATGTAGGTACCAGTTGTTATTAATTAAATGTTTATGTCAGACCTCCGTTGCCACTTTTGCTTTTCTGAGAATAGTGAAAACCTGTCCGCTATAATTTATTGGCCAACCCGTAGTTATGGTTAATCCGAATTGACCCGCCATCTTCGCTTTCAAAGGTCCACCTGAGGCAGTTGGCACGATGGTTTCCTACTTAGCCTAAAATGCTAGTAGGGCGCTGTATAGTGGGGAAATGGCGAAAGAACGGAGTGAAACGGTCAAAATCCGGCGAAGAAAAAGCCTCCGTTCTCAGTGACTTGTAAATCGATTTCGGACGAGTTTCCCGTACGCATCTTGCCAATCACACTCGCTTTCAAAGATCGGCTTGCATATGTACCCATGTATGCATGCAGCATCACGGCCGCTTCATACCAATCCCTTCGCTTCATAATTTGCTTAGCAAATGAATGAATACGAGCGTCAGAAACGGTCGTCCGTTTGTGGGCGGGCGGGCAAGGAAGGCGTTTGGGACGTAAAGTTGTTGCTCAATAGGGCGTTATAGAGGTACCCTCCTTGGAAAAGGCTTCACGCAGCGCCTGTCCGAGTCACACGGAATCTGTTAAGCCAGTGGTAACGAATCCTACACCTCATAGCGATTATCGTGCCAACTGCCTTTAAGTACATGATGGAAGTTCAGTAGGTTCAAACCGCAATGAATGCTTTTTAAATGCTTTTCTCTGAAACTTTCCATAAACCACAAATCCCTTCAGCCTTGGTGCGCCTCTAGCCTGTATAGTTCCTGTTAGGCTTGCATCCACTCTGTTTTTTTAGTTGCTTTGGGTCCCGACGATCGTTCATCTGCAAACGGCTACATGCAGGCAGTTGAAACAGCAGACGAGTCGAAATGGCTGCCGGGGCGTTTCCAGTATCGTATTGGTTACATGCGTGCCTTGGCAACTCAGTCATTGTGGGGTTTTTTCATCTGTGTTTTACACGCGTAGCAAGTAAAGTAAAGATGAGAATCAACGAACATGAGCCCAGTCATCGATATTTTAGAACTTGAATGCAGGATGCTGTGCAAATATTCTGCTCGAAATTCCATTATATAATGAATTGTGCCGGCTTGTATCTTTTTAGAGGGTGGACAGGCTTCATCCCAAATGCGATGGAACCAAAACCATGTAGAACTATGCCGGGCAGCATTTGTGCCTACAGCGAGGGAAGGGCGTGGTCGGACGAGTTATCACTTGTTGCTATCAGCTCTTTTCCTTGTCAGCACACGAGATGGAGAGCGCCACTGACGGATGAACTTTCAGGTCCACTCTCATATCACTTTCAGGTCAACTTTTCATTTGTAACGGCGTCACCAGGACGCCGTTAGAAATGAAACTTGGCGTTGTTGGGGTAGTGGACCGTGACCTCGTCGCGAGCGGGCCCAGCATTTCCTAAGTATTTTTGAGCTGCGAAAGTATAGTACATCCTTCATGATTGCGAACAGGAGTACCGGGTCCAGAGAAGGCGTCTGAACATTAAATGAATGCAGAACATGCCTTCAACTTGCAACGGATATGCGCTGTCGGAAAGCAATGCGCGTCTGCCGTGAGAAATTGATTTTGGGTGTCATTCACAGATATTACCGTAAGCTTGACTGTATAGCGAGCCACCCTTGTGCTACATACTGATTTTTTTTTGTTCTGCATAGCATAACAGCGCCAATTGGCTAAAGTTAAGGCGGAATTTTTTGGCCTTTAAAAGAGAATCTGTCAAGTATGTGAGCGCTTTTTTGCATTACTATTGCTTTTTGCTGTGAGAGATTCCTTGTGGTAGCTCCTAATGCCCTAGAACGTTGAAATGCTTCTCTGTATACCATATATCCCCTGCGTGCAATTCCTTAGCGGGAATTTGACGCGAAGCGCACCGAAGTAGATGTCCGATCTAGTGGGAATAGTGTCCGCCTCTCCCGTGGTTTGCCTCTATTTTTATAATGCCTACCTGTGGTAATGGACTGCGCGGTAAATGACACTGACACTGTGGGTGAAATAAAGGTCAGTTCAGAGGCCTGCCTTGTTAACCACCCTCTCTACGTGACGGTCTTCTACGACTTTTCCGCGTAACGCGCGCATTGGCACGTGAGGTTTAGGCAGAGGTAGCTTACCCTTCACAGTTGCTGGTGGGCCCTTGTGCTCTGCATTGAGGAAGCTCAAGGCTGTTGGTTGAAGAGCACATATTCAGGGTTTGGCAAGTGTCGCAGAACCACAATGTGCATTGCTGTGGGGCCATTCTCAGACTTCTCCAGGAAGCTGACACAGACTGTTGTCGGCTGGTGACTTGAGTGGAGCATTGCCAAATGTAATTTTTCCATCAGTGTAAATCTCCGTTTGTAGGGAGGATGCTCGCGCTAAAGATCAGGAGCAACAGATGCGTGAAGCTGCCTGGATGGAGCGACTCATGGATACAGACGCAATGAGACTTAGCGGGACGGAAGACAGCTCTGCTACATTTCAAAAAGGTAGACCCTGTAGAAGATGTTTCGAGCGCTCTGCTATCTTCTAAAGAACACATCTGTTTTCAGCATTTCAACCAAACTCTCTGGCAATGTCCGACCATATCGACTTCAACCTG